CACACCCACCCACACCCACACCCGATGATCATAGGTAACTGATTCTAGTCAGATCTTTATTCTTAGAGACGATAAAAAGCAACGAATGGAACTGCTTAATTCTGATACAAACTAACATATTCCGATGCTCAGAATTGGGAGTTTTATTCAAAAATGAAGCGTAGTTCAAAGCTACAGGCTCCGAAGATTTCCTGGCTGCGGATACTGCTGGATCATGTCGGATGCCAACGAGTCTTGTCGATCGGATCTGATCGTTTTTGACTTGAGGCATATGTTCGGAAATTAGTGAACTCCGTCACCCAATTTCAACGGAAAACGATGTAAATAACTGGAATACGCCGGAAAGTATCCGATCGTTCGACAGAATCAGACTTATCCTGGTTAACCTAAGCAAATCTATCATTCATAATACACAAATAGTAAAAACACGAAAATGTCTTGATATATATTCAGTTCAGCTCATATATTCAAAAGAAATGCAAAGTTCAATTGAAAGTATTCAGATCACATTTAGTTTTCAATTTATTAATAGATAAAACCATTTAAATATCGAATAGAAAAAAGAAAGATAAATGAGAGCGATAACATTAGGAAGTTAGGCAGTTTAAAATGGATTTTAAAAAATATTAATAGATTTTTTTCCTCTTTTTCAAAACAAATCGAGCTCATCGGAAGGTTCGCCTTCTATGAAGATGAAAGATAGGATCGATACTAAAATAACAAGTAAACAAGTGTACTTTTAAGTCCTAAATCAAACGGTTCTATTCACATATTAGTGAATGTAAGATTCTAACGTTTCATACATTGTTTCGTTGTAATTAATTGTCCGTCTGAATCAGTAATTGTTACGTCTACACATTGACACTTGCAACAATCTGAATCATATTTACATCTACCTTGTACTGGACAGCTATCTCCACAGATCGGTGTAACATAGGGGTTAACACATGAACCATAAACATCAGTTGGGGAGTGTCGGTAGCACTGACATTCCGTCAAACCAGACTGACAACAATCAGAATTCATCGTACAGTTTTGAGTTGTACAACAAGTACTGGAAGCTACAGTAGTTGTTTTGCTGGTAGAAGTTGAATTATTCCAGCTGGTGACCGTGGAAGCACAGATTGATGATGAAGGATTGCTTAGACAGTAAACACTATTGTTGCCACCACTGCAATATTGTGTTTGTGGATTATAACATATGCCAGAACAAATCTGACTTCCTATTGGACATACTGTGCCGTTATTATCGAGACAAAAGCTCGTCGTATTATCGTAACATTTTTGTTGAGGACCACAAACTTTGAGATATTTATTCGTATAATAATAGTTCCAAAAGTAAAAACCATA